TATTAATCAAGCATGGATGTTATTCAGGACCTCAAGCTGCCAAAGTTCTTCAGAGTGGTGTGCAAGATGATCTTAGTAACATGTTTTTCATGCATGGTGGTGTAATGGATGTGTTTGGAATCAAGGACGTGCGAGTTACACGTTGTGGCTACACCGGAGAGGATGGTTTTGAGGTAACGTAACTCTTCTCCTAATTGTGAGTCCATTCATGACAACCACATCTACCCTTTATTGCCTGCCCGGTCCCTCCTTCATCTCCAGTGACGGAGTGTGCCTGGAACGAGTTACTTTTTTACGTATCTTCGATCTATCTTACCTAGAACGGACAAGCCGAAAAATCACAAATAAAGGATGCAAGTATTAATTTTGAATGTTTAATTTTTCTTTTTTTGCTATGCACAGCTGTCAGTGAACAAGGACAGAGCTGTTGATTTGACGAATGCATTATTAGAAAGCAAAGAGGCAGATGTCAAACCAGCAGGCCTGGGACCGAGGGACAGTCTGAGATTAGAGGCTGGGCTTTGTCTCTATGGAAATGACATTGATGAAAACACGACACCTGTTGAAGCTGTTCTTGTGTGGACAATTGGTGAGTTTGTTTTATTTAAAAGAGAGGTCTGGGCCCAAGATCTGGCCGGGTAATTGTGTCATACCTCAGTTTCTTTAGAAACTTACCTCATTAACACATTAAAAAGGGGGCGGTTTTTTCTCTATGGTTAAACCTCTCCAGAGAGGTAATTCCCAATAACCCATTGAAAAGCGCCCATATACATACCCATTATTAGGTTTTAACAACACGGACTGCGTGTACGCCAAATATAATATCTAACAGAACAAAGATATACACCTTGATATTGTGAAAGAGGGTGATGCATTTTCTTGTTCTATGAGATTACCATGCCTTTAAAATATTAAAGGGAAAAGACGGCGTGCCCAAGCAGACTTTCCAGGAGCAGAAATAATCCTCAGACAGATCAAAGAGAAGGCGAACAGGAAGAGAGTAGGGCTTCTGTCCAAAGGCCCTCCTGCGCGAGGTGAACTTGTTACTTTATCGTGTAGCTTGAAAATTCAGCGTATTTTCTTACGGAATCATACAAAAATTTGAATGTAGTTTCTAAACATTGAGTGGTACGAAAGAGGGATGTCGTTTGTCTTATCACAAGCGTGATATAAGGAAAAAGTTCCGAGTCCCCATGAAGAATCGAACTTTAGACTTTCGGATTCCGCGCTTTGATGCAGTACCACAGAGCGTAGAGAGCTCTATGGTGAGCTAGGCTCTTTCTTGTTTCTTATGTAAAGCGCATCTTGCTGGGTCAAGCAATGCTGGAAAGCTTCCTGTGATTAAGTAGAATAACAAAAGTGGTAAATTTTTTAGCTCTGTCTTGAAGTAAGGAAAAAAAAATGTAGTCGTCTTGTTGCGAGTGTAGAACAAAACAAATGTATACTTTCTTTGCTTCTTTTTTTTTTTTTTAGCGGGGGCAAATGTTTTAGATGCTGATGGTAACAAAGTAGGTAGGTAACATGACCAAAACTGCGTCCGTTTTAATCCAGTTTATGAATTGAACACATCATTGAACACAATGGGTAAATGGTTTACCCATATGGATAGTCCAAATGGGTAAACCATCAGGAGATTTACGTCGACTGCATTGGGGTGTGGTTTTTAATTTCAGGAAGAAGAGAGATAAAATGGAGGAGGAGTAGGGTAACTAAAAGAAGAAGAAAATTGTAAACATTGTCAGTTCCTTTTGAGGTCCTGTCAATGGAGATATTTTCCATTAACCACGCTGTATTCTCTACAGTTTTCTTCTCTTTAGAGCCCCTTCCTCCATGAAGTTATAGGTGATGATGTAGTCGAGAAAATCAAATCTCCCCTTTATCTGTTTTGAGTGAATATTATTATTATTATTATTATTATTATTATTATTATTATCATAAGTTATCTTATTATTATTATTATCATAATTTATATTATTATTATTGTTATTATTATAAAGTAATACATATGCTAGTATCCTAAGCTTAATCACGACATTATAAGGCTCGTCGCGCGCTTAAATTAAATTGTTATTTTTTCATTATTTACTTATCATTAGCCAATCAACAACAAAATTCTTGATGTCTCGTTTGAATAATCCTATTTTTTTTTTTGAAAAAAAAAAATGCATTTCAGGTCACGTGACAAGTGGCTGTCCATCACCGTGCCTGAAGCAGAACATTGCAATGGCTTACGTACCAACAAAATTATCCAAACCAGGGACAGCAGTGCATTTAGAGGTTTACAAAAAGAAGATTGATGCTCAAGTTGTGAAAATGCCTTTTCTGCCAACAAACTACTACTTTGGGAAATGAAAACGAAGATGACTGATTCAAGAATTACTCTCGCAAACGAAATGAGAAAATGAAATAACTACCGTGACTTTCACGTAGGAATACTTTTAAAATTGACTAGACTTGAAATACTGTGTGAAACGTATCAAATAATGACGTATTTATTGATTATTTTATAGAGGTTTTTTAATGACGTCTTACCCATGAATTGAAGATTGAAACTTCACTCTGCCATTTAAATATTCTTATATAATATATGTAATACACGTTTTCGGAAATAGAAATTTAAAAGTCTTCGCGTGTCATATTGATAGTTGTGAAGATGTGATTTAGCAGTATGTGGCTTTAGAAAAATATTAGTTAAAAGTTTGAATGGCGGTTTTTCGTAACTTCAACGGCTTCTTTAACTTGATAAAATAATAAATAATAATAAATTATTTAGCAATGGAACTTCCACTGGGTGGCTCTTCTTGTCCACTGTTGCAGATCGAATTGGAATTTGGAATGTTGTTTTTTGCGGAGGGAGGAAAACTGGAGGACCCAGAGAAAAACCCTCGGAGCAAGGACGAGAACCAACAACAAACTCAACCCACATGTGACGCCAGGTCCGGGAATCGAACCCAGGCCACAGTGGTGGGAGGCGAGTGTTCTCACCACTTTTAGAATTCGCGACATTCTCGATCCATTGATCTTCGAATTTTCTCGAAATATCGATACACAACTAAAATCCAGAGGGCTAGGACTCCTTCCCCTTTTCGACCTTCCGGCAATGTTTTTACTCAGATGAGAATGGAGCACTGCTGGCTTCCCTATGTGCTGTTATAGCTTAGTCTCGTACAACCGCCTCCCGGTTAGCTCAATGGATAGAGCGCTGGACTGATGTGCAGGAGGTCGAGGGCTCGAGCCCCGGCCGGACCAACACTTAGGGTCTTAAAATAATTGAGAATAATATGCTGCCTTTCTATAACATCAAAGAAATGGTGAGATATTCGAGTCTTCTCGGATAGGGACGAATAAATGGACGTCCCGTCTCCT